GTCTTTTTGCGGTTTAGTTCGTTCCTGTTTCATCTAACGCCATTTTCACGGCGACTTCCATTGGGCTTTGATCGGTAACTTCATATTCACTATTTTGTAGAATTTTATTAATATTACTTATAATGCTACCTAAAGTTAAAATCAAAGTTTAATATCCATTAAATAGTTGGAGGTTATTTATGATTTTCTTGGTTCTTTCTCACTTATTAACATAAATAACATTGAATTTATTTTGGACCACATGGTCAATTGCTGTGCTAATTTTTGTACAAGTTCATATATGTTGTTAGTTGCTTAACTGTTTATACAAGATCAGCGTACTATGTCCATTTACTTAGTTTCATTCACATATTTGTTAATAACATTAACTGCTACATATCTTTTTAAGGTAACAATTAACATCGTTTCCATGATTGTGTGGTTCTCATATTGTAATAATTTTTTAGATGAACTGATGATGCTTTCAAAACTCGAAAGCGAAACGTCTTCAAAATAGATAAAGTAGCCTATCAACTTTGTCTTTTATTTCTCCACCTAGAGACCGATATAAGAACCCACCACTCGTCTGAGTGATCCTTATATATATATTGGATTGACGGTCGTACTCCTTTTTCCGATATATATATATATATATATATATATATATATATATATATATATATATATATATATATATATTTCGTTGTGGATAATATTATATTCAACATCGATAACAAATTCCTGATGCTAAAATGATTGATAATGAAAGTGAGATATATATGTTCATGTATATAATGGCAGCGAGTAAACGGTAACACTGTGTACTACTACAGTAGTGACAGCGCAGTGATCAGTGAATAGTGTAGTAGAGTCTGAGACCTCGGAAGCCCTGAGGAAGGCATCAGAGAGGATACCGAAAGCTCGGCAAAATGGATATCGACGCGGTTCAACCCGGAAGACTGGTGAGTTTGATATTAATGTTAGTAATAATATTAATCTTAGCTCTAGATATATATATATATATATATATATATATATATATATATATATATATATATATATATATATATATATATCGTTTATTTTGCATTCCAGGAAAATATGATTTAAACCTCTAATACTTAGAAACACTATCAGAAAAGCAAACTATTACTAATTTATACAGATGTACCACATATTTTTCTGTCTGGTCTTTAATCTCACAATAGTAGAAATATCCCGCTTTGGTAGGTTATATTTAGATACATTTCCATGTGGCCAAAGTAGTTGTTGATGCAAAGAAAAATATAAATTCTGTGACATGCTTGAAATATTGTTCCATTGTGTTTCCCATATTTATATATTCTATCTTTAACATAATTTATGGCATCACTCCATAAAATCAGAGTTAGGATCTCACCCTTTGTTATTTCATCTTTCTCCAACCAGTCTACTTTCTCTTTACCTATTATACCGACATGTCTTTTGCCCATATGAATACCACTTCCACTTTAAACAGATTATTTTTTATATTACATAAAGTTCTAGATTTGTATGAACTGAAATCTGTTTTTAATTGCATATATTGCAGATCTGGAGTCTGTTTTTTACCTAAATCTATTCTAGAGTTTTTTCGATGGCTATAAGTTCAGCTCTAAAGATGCTACGAACAATAGATTATTTGTAATTATTGTATTGGTAAGTATTTTGAACCTACATAGTACATCTGTATAATTCTGTATACTTAAGAATTATTATTCTTGATTTTGTTTATCAAATTTTGTACGGAATCTTATAAATTGGTAGTAATTTATTTTTGTCTAATTTTGTATAACTCCTAGTTTTAATAATTGCATCTATCAGTGGGGGTAATTTTTTTTATTTTACAATATGTATTCGTGAAGTTTTCAATATGTAATAATGCCAGATTTGTTAAAAGGTCTGACTCAGTGTTTCTCAATTTTATACAGCATTTTTCTGCTAATAGTTTGTTGCCTAATAGGACTTCATTACACTTTGCTATAATAATGTTAGTTGGAGTTTGTTATATTTTTGTTTTACCTCGTATATGTTAAAAAATCAAAAAATATTCTCAATCTTTTTGCGTCGCTAAAATTGATAATATAAACATTTTCAGTCTGTTTATAATTGCACAATTGCTTATAAAACACAAATTTGTATTTTTTTGATCTTTATTCCGCTTCAGGATATTTTGCGCATCAAATAAACAAGAATCTTTCCGTTTATGTTTTGTTTATAGCGAGTTGGAAGAAAGATATCATTCTCCAGATCAAATCAGTCGGTTTCATTGTTTTGGATCCGGAATTTGTTATATTTGGTTATGGTTATTCGTTTTTTGCCATCGAAAAATAGTGAAGTGTAGTAGGAGTTTGGAGAAGCAGTTTGGATTCGGAAGAGATAAGCTCTCGGCATGTAGTTTTTCAAGACCGGCAATTTTTGCTTGATTTCATGAGTTAAGAGGTGAATTTAAACTCAAAATGCTATTTGGCAGTCTTTGTTCGGTGAATTAGTTACTCACCGATTTGTTAAGCTGTATCCTATGTGAGGAATTTGTAAAACAGCGTTTCCAACATTTTAAGAAGTCCACATGGTTTTAAGTAAGAATTAAGCAGCCGAGTTTTGAAGAACACATTTTGTTATCATCCAGGATAATCCGAAGGCCAATTCAATGTTTGACCTCTCCAAGATTTTTCCATTTTGTGTTTCCATGTGTTTTACTTTTTTTTATTTTAAAATAAACAGTTTTTCATTAATATATGCGAATATTTGCTTTCATGACAAACTAAAACAATTATAAGTTTTATGGATAAGCTAACTGTCATATTCTTTTAAATAAAATTAACTTTAATATTTAATAATTCTTTTAAAAAGGTTTATTATTTCATTTCGATATATGTAATAAAATTATTTCCTTTAAAAATATTTTCCCTGTTAAAACTTTTTTAGCAAAGAAAAGCCTTTCTTTCCATCGAGCACGAGAATTCTTTTAAACGGCGTCCAATTTAAATAGTTTAGGAACCTTCTTGTATTTGTTGCCCAGGAAATCTCTGTATTTCTTTAATTTCTTTCTTTGTAGTTACCCCTTCCAGTCCGTCAAATAAAGAAACACTTATTCACGACCCCAGATCTCCAATCAAAACAAGAGTAGCGATTCGCAAACCTTTCAGTTTATTTGCTTACCCTATCTCCAGCCCAGTAATTGTTCAGTTCCCACTTTCAACTCTCTATATATTGTTACAAGTGACACCCAATGTGGTAGGCAAATTAAATCGTTACAAGTTGATACCATTGCGTTAAACATATTCGTAAGTATCTGTATGGTACACGATCTAATATTTTTTAATTCATATTGATTGTTGATTCATATATCCAATACCCGTAGTCCACGACTAAATACTCATACATTGCTTATTTTAGTTCATGAAAACAATGTTACAATACATTTTTATAACTATGAATGTAAACAATTTTGTTTTGTTTTTTACCTTGAATTATTAGTTTGTTATTAATGTTTATGTGTATATATTAGAATTTTGATAAGTGTTATAAAACTATTTAAATAATGCGAATTAATTTTTTGTAATATCTATCACTTTGTAATTTAAATGATTTCATTAATAAACAGCTCAAATCGGGCGAGTTGATTGAAAAAATATTATTCTCATTTATGTAAACAGACAGAGAACAATGGTGTGTATATATAAAATAAATAAATAAATAAAATAAATAGTACTATTTATTTAAGTTTTATTAACTATTAATCCTTTTAACCCAAAACATAGATTAATTTGTCCCCAAATATGTGTTGCCTTTTGTTGTGGCATATCAATCAGTTTACTTGTTTCAAAAATATTATCAAAAATCATACCCATAAATTTACTATAATTTTAAACGCCATTTTAAAAATTAAAAGATTAAAAATTTAATTTTCTCAAAACATACATAAAACCATTGTTTAAAAAGATGTTTTTTTTTAGAATGATAAAATTTAAGTCTTGACTAAAAATAAACCCCCGGATGAGTCTGCTAAGATGATCATATAAACAAATTAAATATCTAATCATATAAACAAATTAAATATCTGGTAAACTCATAAAAATTTAAAAAAAAGGCATCACTTATATACAATATTTAAACAGATTACTGACCGATTTAGATTTAGTAAGTCTCAAAAAAACAATTTGAAATATTCATTCGAAATAGTTAAGTTATCTTTCACAAGACAAATACAATGGTAATAACAATAAGCGTTTTATTTATCTTATCTTATATTTTCTTCACAATCTGGGATCCGTATACAGGTTTGTATTAGAGATCGGACAACTGAAAATATACTTGAGTAGCACTCTGCATCAATTAAATTTCTGTTAATAGTTTTTGAAATTTATTACTAGAGGCCAACACCTGACGGCAGATTAAAAGTCAAAAACTTTGCTGGTAAAGGTTGTCTAACTATTCTTTTTTAAACAATGCTTGTATATAGTTTACCAGAGCTACTAGACGAGAATTATCACCCAATTATAAAAAGGTGGAGGTATTGTAAATACAGAAATTACATTTATTTCTATCATTGTAAATAGGGTTTATATTATTAGTGATACTGTTATTAAATGGGTTACACACGTAATAATATTTATTTTAGTACCCGTTTTATTCTTTCACAGATACTTAAATAATTTTCATATTATAGGTTACAACTTAGCAAAGTTTATTCTATACACTTCCCTTGTGTTACTTTTATCTTCTTAAGTTTGTTGCTGTCTTGTTTAATATTTCACTGTCTTTTACATGCATGCAAATTGGCGGATTTGATCCTTGAGTTTTCCAGTGGCCACTCTCATGCATTAAGCGTCTTTATTTCCTTTAACCGCACATTTTCAATTTTCTATATTTTTATTTATCACCTTGTTATGGTCTTTTGAAACTTTCCTACAATTTGTTATATTGGCGCCCATATAGGGTACCCTATCCATACTTTTGTTATAAAATGAATATCATATTGATGTAATTTTTACAATTAATTATATAATATATTCGGCTATGGAAATGTTATTTTTTAGAGAATTTAAAAATATCCAAAACCACCTACCTGCTGCCACCATTTTAGCTGTTTTGACTGATCTATTTGAAAAGTGTTGCAAATTAGCAGCTTTGTCAGAAAAGCTCTGATCTCTATTGGGGGTTCCCTCAGGAGCTAGAGCCGCTTCGGTAAATTGTTTTAAAGGAGTAACGATGTCAATGAAATCTTCTACTACTCTATTCACTACGGCTTGATTAATTTTTTCCTTAAGCTCGTGTAATTTTTGGGAAAGTTTCCTGGCTACTTCTTGGGCTTGAGGAGAATTGCCCAAGCCTTGGCCACAAAGGTCAGCTAATTGATGAGACAGTATATCAACTTCATCACACAGCTGAAAAATTTCTGATTTCTGAACACCTGGTAATCCGTCCGCAACCTAAAAAACCAATGTACTATAAATTTCATTAATCCAATTTGAGTATTAAAAAATATTAATAGCTTAAGTACCGCACCTGTCAGTGCTTTAACTTACCAAGTAAAAAATTGAATCGCGGGTTCTAATACGAGGTTCCAATACGACATTGGAAATAGACATGGTTCTTTAAAATAGAAGAAATTCTCGGGTTTATTTTAAGAACGCGAAAACTCAATTTTAAGTACAGTAAAATGGAATCAATAGTAACAAAACTTCCAAAATAGCTTTATGTCACATTTCAGGGGGTAAAAGTAGTGGCAAAGGGGTAAATTTCTGGTTGCAAGTTGATAACACTCTAAATTTAAAGGGAAAAATAAGTTTAAGTGGTTGGCAGCATTGAGAGTCAGATTTATTGCTAGAATAACACGTTTTGTTTTAAGCAGATATTTCGTCATATTCTAAACTTTACATGTAAGTATTATATACTATCATATTATGTTCTTGATGTGTACTATTTATTTAGTGTTATATACCTATAAAACATACTTTAAGAATGTATAAATAACACACTTTTCTATTGTCATAATGTTATTTGAGGTTGTCTCTATTCACCCCACAAATCTAAAACCCCTTATTTTTTTGTTATATTAGTGGTAAATAGGAATGAATCATGATAATAGTTTAGGATACTTATTATACTTGACAGAATATCTAATATACTTGTTTACTTTCAGCATCCCAAGGAATTACGAACCTGTGAAACTGAAGAAAATACAAGATCCAGAGGTTCTTCAGAAAGCCATGGCAGATATATCCAATGGTGTCGGCCTCAGGAAAGCAGAGAGTAAATATGGCATCAACTATAGTGTTCTTTATAAACATTTCAGAAAGGGTGATCAGCTAAAAAAGATTGGGGGACAAACCGCTTTGACTGAAGAGGAGGAAAAAACAGGTGAGTCGCCTAATTATTTACAGTACATGGAGCATACTTGGAGTAGAACTGGTTAACATTCCTGCATCGAATATAATCAATTATGATGAAACTAACTTATTTGATGATCCGGACAGAAGTAAAATAATAGCTAGACGAAGACTTAAATATCCTGAAAGGGTGATGAATTCTACTAAAAGCTCCATCTCAGTGATGTTTCCTGATGGTCAAATTTTGCCCCCTTATGTAGTGTATAAAGTCCTAAACTTGTATAAAAGTTGGAGAGAAGGCGGTCTTGAGGGGTCTATGAATAATAGGACCAAAAGTTGGTCCTATTATTCATAGACCTGTTGGTTTGACAACTTGTTTTTCAGATTATATCGAAACCATCATACTTCCATTTTTTAGACGATATGACAGTGAAAAATACTTGATCGGAGACAACTTAGCTAGCCACCTGTCACTTGATGTCATACAAACGTGTTCAGAGAACAATGTTCATTTCATATTTCTACCAGGAGGTTGGCAGCCTTGGGCTGATAGTGTCAATATCATATTCTGTATCACTCCTTATTTTTATAAAAGTTTACCACTAATTTGAAAAATTTAATTCTAGATTTAGTGCTGCCTGGTGAAGTTTGATGTTGTGATTGTTTTAACTCGCGTGGATTATGTTTTCAAGGTAATGAACAACAAATTATAGAAAACAAATATTTTGAGATTCTGAAACAGCTGATTTTATTGACAACGTTTTTACCAACTTTTAATAAAACATCAATTTATACTAAACACTACGAAATTCAGCCCCTTACATATAGGCAGCACAAATTACAGATTGTTTGTTTATCTATTTTACGGTGTCCCGGATTTTATATACAAGTAATTGTAATTATTACATAGCACCTATATTTCTCAAAAGATAACTCAATGAATAATCGAGAAATAACTGATTTTTTTACTCCAAAGCCAAACCAAAAGAGACGAAGAGTCAAAGTTCACCACAATTAAATAATATGGAAATGGATAGTATTAGTATAAATAAGGATGAACTAAAATCAATGATTGAAGAACTTCTGAACAAAACGTTAAACCCAGTTAGCAAGAAATTGGAAAATGTATCGACTAAAGATGATGTAAACAAACTGAATCAGGACATCCAGTCATTGAGAGTAGAGAACTATCAACTAACATTAAAAGTTCAGATGTTAGAGGCTAAAGTATCCGGGATGTCTGATGAGTTAGAAGAGTTAAAAAGAAGGGACACAGTTAGGGGGAAAATGCTAAAAGATCAAGAAGGAAGACAAAGAAGAAATAACCTAATTTTTAGAGGTGTTCGTCATTCTGGTAGAGAGCCTTGTGCTCTAGTGATTTCAAATTTTTGTAAAAATTTTTTAGGTATTGAAGATCAAGTTATGATTAATCGAACACACCCACTTGGACTTCCAAAACCAAATGGACCTATAATAGCTCATGTGCCATGGGATACCGATATTTCTAAGATTCTGGGACAGATCAAGAAATTAAGAGGTACTGAAATTTACATTGACAGAGACTATACCAAAGAAGTCAGGGAGAAAAGATCGAGATTGAGAGCAATTACGAAGAAAATAAAAGAAAAGAATAATGCGCTGAAAATGAAACTGGTCTTTGACTCGTTATTGGTGGAATCCGTTAAGTACTGTTGGGACTGGAGGGATGGATTAAAGTGTGGAAAGGATAATGGTATGAATCGTTTGAAAATGGACTAGAACATCGATTTAAATTTCTTGTTTAATTCTCCAACTAATAATAGTGATCAAGCAGAAGTGATGGATCATTCCGAGAACATAAATCAGGAAAACTCTAATATCCAGTCGGGGGAATCAGGGAGAGGGTTGGTGAACCCAATCTGATAGAGAGTGATGATGATATCGTGGATTTGGAACATGGAATTACTGGTAATGAGAGTTGGAACACAATAAAAATACTTATGTACAATATAGCAGGTTTAAAATCAAAACTTAATCAGATAGGATTTGTAAAATATGTAAGTAGCTTTGAAATATTTATATTATGTGAAACGCATGTAGAAACTGTATTTATTGATAATGTTTTTAATAATAGATATAAGTTATATACACAGGCAGCTGTGAGATTTTCCAATTTTGGTAGAGCGAGTGAAGGGTGGTTGTGTGGTGTTAATCATAAGATACAACATAAGTTGAGGGAAGTGGATGGTCAAATGATTATAGATATAAAAGTAGGTAATGAAAAAGTAAGCATTATTCCAGTATATCTAAGGCCAGGAGAGTACTGGGAGGAGTGTTTTGAAAATGTTGTTGGGAAAAGTTCCCAACACCTTGAATTTAAATTATATAAGAAATTAAAATTTTGAACCTCTAGCGCCATTTTCGTGCATTCCCAATGTCACATTTTTTATGACATAAGTTCCAATCTGTTACACTTAATAACACTAAAATAAATTTATTGTGAAAGGGGACTTATCCACCTAGTGACAGTTTTCAAAAACTGAAAAATGACAATCAGGAAGGAGAGAAGTTGGCGGTGTCATAGAAAAAATATATACGGCGTTGTGTCTTCTCCATTAGTCATTTTTGTTTAAGTTTTTGATAATTAAATTATAAAACGATCTTAGGAATGTGAACTTGGTGAAGTCATAGGTGCAACGAAGGGAAAGTGTAATGATAAAAGTGTTCCTGCTACCAGTTGCCGTCGGAAGCATCTTCTGAAGGGTGTCAACTACTGTTCAAAATTATTGTAAGGTACTTAATATTCTCTATTATTGAAGTCCTCCATGGCCAAAGACAAAATTTAAAACGGAAATTTGTATACAAACACTCTATTCGCGAACGAAACTATATCTCGTGTGCTTAATATAAGTTAATGTTAAAATTTAGAAGGCCGAATAAGTATGTGCACATTTCTCTGATAAATATGAATTCATATCCATTTGTATTGTAACCCCTTTTATATAAAAATTACGAGAGAGTAAAACTTTAGTTATTTGTTAGTTTTCAATACACTTATAGTACTGTTTATTTATTTTATTTCACTTATACCTAATAAAGTCAATTTTGGAGATTCTGAACCAGCCCCTAACTGGAAATACAATATTAACTCTAGGAGTTTTTATATAGTCGGAGACACGTTTGTCGGTCCTCCACGCTCGAGTGGTTGTAAGGCAGACCAAAGTAGTTTGCTGAGCGACCATTTAATGGTCCTAAAGCGAGCCGGATCCCAAAAAAGACTTTTTGCAAAATTTATAAATAGTTTCATTGAATTTAGTAAAAATCTCTGTTTAAAATTCTTATCTCTCTCTCTCTCTCTCCTACTCAATTAAATGCCAAAAAGGCCAGTCTCGGTTACAATACAAATAAATTAAAACTACACTGAGAAAGGTGTACTCTCTAGTTTTGTATATTTTGACTTATGCAATTTATTGTTAATGTTTTATTGTGTGCATTTCTCTCTTTATGTTTATTGCAAGTGCGTACCTATATAAAAAATAATTTCTGCAGTTCCTTAATTTAAATACTTGATAATTTAGTTTAATAAAAATTCATATACTCAACATGAATAATAGACAAGTAACGAAACATGCTCGCACCTCTGCGAAAGCATCTTTAACTCGCTTAGAGAAGTGGACAGACGCAAATCTCGATACTGCGATCAGTATTTCTCAATTAGCCATTCGGGAAAAAATGGCATTAGATTGTTTTCAGCAATATAATGTAGCTCAGGATGAATTAGAATGTTTTTTAACTGCGGAAGAAAGTTTTGATGATAGGGAACAATTGGAAGAAAGGTTTAGCATAGTGTTATCTCGAATTCAGGATAAAATCTCGGTTTTAAAATCTTCTGTCGAATCTAAAACTGTAGAGTCAGGAACTAAAGTGCTCTCGTCTCCAGCGGTAAAGTTACCGGAAATAAATATTCAAAAGTTCTCAGGAAACATAGTAGAGTGGACTCCATTTTATGATTTATTTGACGCGTTAATTTTAAAAAATAATAATTTAACTTCCATTCAGATGATGATCTATCTCAAATCATATCTGAGTGGCGAGCCACTCAGACTTATAGATACACTGCCCGTTACGGCAGATAACTTTCAAATTGCTTTAGATACACTTAAAAATAGATACACTAATAAAAATTTGTTGATAAAAAGTTTATTACGTGATTTATTTGAAGTAAAGCCAATTCAAGGTAACTCTCAAGTCCATAAGCAACTCAGGGAATTTTATGTTTC